CAGACTGCCTGAGGCGAAGGCGCAGCAGCGTGAAGGCCCAGGGGCAGGACCCAGGGCAGGGCCGGGCAGCAGGGCATCACGGTGGCCCCCCTGCTGAAGTCACAGGCAGGGCCAGGTCCGGGCGGGATCCCCCCCAAGCCTGCCCGTGAAGGAGGCCACCGGCCCCTGGAGAGTTGGGATGCCAGCCCCTGTATCAGAGCAGAGCCAGGGGCCAGAGACGGGCGGGGGAGCCCGGCGCCCAGGCGGTGTCAGAAACACCTCAGGTTGAAGAAGACCAGGGCCACAGGAGACTCCCTCACGGGGACCGTGATGAAGTGATGAAGACCGCTCCGTGAGGCCGTGGGGAGCCCCCAGTCCAGGCTGGTCTGGACCGACTCGGAGAGGCCCTGCCGGCGCCGGGCAGGGAGGCGGGCCAGAGCCCCAGGCAGAGCTGCTCTTCTCCCCGCCGGCTCCCCAGCTTCTCCCGAGGTCGGGTGGCCCACCTGCCCAGGTGTGCGGCCGTGGACATGGTCTCCCTTGCCCGCAGGGATGGGGCAGCTGGCCGCCCGGCGCCCCCAGGTCCCTTTGGACGTCTTCGGCACCCTGGCCGGGCTCGTGATCCTCCGGGCCGCTCCAGGGACAGGGGCTTGCGGCCCGCTTCTTCGAGATGGGATGCTTCAGTCTGAGCTTGCCTACCAGGATCCAGGCGGCCTCTGAGGCACCGGGTGAGTGTCCAGGCCCGGGCCCCAGGGCGTCCAAGTCGGGTCATCCTCTCCTTTTGAGGAGGAGTAGGAGGACGTGGAGGACGGGCAGGAAAGAGGCTTTGAACTGGAGGCGGCGCCGGGTTCCTGAGCCTGGAGCGCCGCCTACAGGAGGACGTCCCCGTGCACTACCCCGGCCAGCCCCAGGGCGCTGGCGCCCTTCCGACCCTACACCTGCCCCTCGGGTTCCTCTTCTGGAAAGCCGAGAGGAGGCTCGGGTCGGGGTGTCTTCCTCGGCGCCCAGCCGTGCCGCGTGACCATGCGCCTGCGCTCGCCCTTGGGGGTTGATAGCTCAGGCAGCGCGGGACAAGGAGAGATAGAGCGGCTCGGCGGAGCTCAGCCCCTCCCGGCAGCCGCGCGCCCCACCCCGCACTGCCCGGTCCCGCACCGCACCGCCTCGTGCGCATCGTTCCGCACCGCCACGCGTGCCCGGACCCGCGCGCCCCGCCTCGAGCGCAGCGTCCTCCGCTGCCCAGCACAGCCACCGCTGAGCACCAACCCGCCCGGCGGTGCAGTTTTAGATGACACACACCAAGTTCAACCACTACAGTAATACAGACCAATTTTCAAGCATGATAACGAAAAACTGAAGAAACACTGTGTATGTGTGTGATGTATTCCACTGCATCCCATAGGGAGGAAGAACTTTGTGGAATCTTAGGGCAAGAGGAAGATGGGCTGGATGAAGCACAGGCTGGAATCAAGACTGCCAGGAGAAATATCAATAACCTCAGATATGCAGATGACACCACCCTTATGGCAGAAAGTGAAGAANTGCTGGGGAAGATTGAGGGCAGGAGGAGAAGGGGACGACAGAGATGAGATGGTTGGATGACATCATCAACTCAATGGACATGAGTTGGGTAAGCTCTGGGAGTTGGTGATGGACAGGGAAGCCTGGTGTGCTGCAGTTTATGGGGCCGCAGAGTCGGGACACATGTGAGCAACTGAACTGAACTGACCACTAGAGGAAGGAAAGCTCCCACGTGATCCCCTGGTCCTCACACACCGGGAAGGGGGCAGGTCGCTCTCAGAGGGAAGGTCAGACTGCTGGAACGTGGGCCTGTCCCTCCTGACCCTCGGGTGCTGACTCCTGTCTGCGGCTCCTGACTGGTGAGCCGTCCTGTTGCTCCATCACCCTCCCTAGCTTCTCACCTGAGTGAGGCGGGGCTGAAGCAAGCTGGGGAAGCCAACCCTTGTGTAGGGGCTGATTCACAGCAAAGTGGCCGTCCATCCGTCACGGCAAACCCTCCACACACTCTCAGTGTGTTTCCACATACCATGACCTCAGCTGCCCGATCAGCATCACTGAGTCCAGCCAGATGATGAGCCCCTGCCCAGGGGGAGTGGGGCCTCAGACACACACTCTACCACTGGACGACATGCAGTGCAGAATTTAAATGGGGTCCATGTGAGTTTCTGAACAAAAAAATCAAGCATCTCAATCTGGCTGGAGGCCGCCACTGTGGACGTGAGGGGTTCAACCCTATTAGGCAGTAGGGTGGGCTCACAGAATGTTTGGTTCCAGACTGAACCCTATCAGGAAGCCGGGGCTCTATCTGGTCCCCAGTGAGGGGAGTGGGTGGAGGAGAACGCTCATGGGGGGAAGGGCTTCTCTCTCCTCTGGAATTCCTGCCCACAGGTCCTCGGAGCGACGGACTAGAATGAGCCGATCAAATACAAAAGCACAACTGTAGAGGCGGGATAGGCTACAGAGTTTAGGGGAACAGTGAAAATCGAGAATGCAGGGCCTGAAGTTCACATGTCAAGACGGTAACCGGAATGCATTAAGGCCAGGCGAAAGCCTGTCTGATCGCACCAGCCCCCATCCACGAGTGGCTCTGCCCGGAGCAGTGGGTTCACACCGCCATGCTGCCAGCACTTCCGGGGTGCCTCCTGGGACCCCGCCCACATGGGTGCTGCACACACATGCACGCACTCCACATGCATGCACATGCACGCGCTCCACACGCGCTCCACATGCACGCACATCACGCGCTCCACACACACTCCACACACGCACTCCATCACGAAACTATTAGGTGGGGGTCGTCTCCTCTTTCGTGAGGGTGCTCCCAGGCTCATGCAGGAATTCACCTAAAACACGGGGTTAGGGCAAAGGTCTAAACCAATGATGTGTCTGACTCCAGGAACCTGCCTGCTCCGCCGCACGGCTCCCAGCTCAGACCTACACAGTTCTGCCCTCAGGAGCTGGCAGGACCCTCACGCCCACCTGCACGATTGGATGTCCATCTCAACCCCAGGCTCTCTAAGGGGGAAAGGACATTCTCTGAGACAAATGGAGCTCGGAAATCTGGATATTCACCCGCAGAAGAAAGAAGCTCACTGTGACACGCACCACATAAAAAGATCAGTTCACAATGGATCCATGTGACAGCTAAAATCCTCTAAGAGAAAACACAAAGTAAGTCCTCATCATGTTGACTTGACAATAGATTGTTTGCTATGACAGGAGAAGGACCAGAAGAAAGAAAAAAAAAAGATGAATTTCACCAAAATTTAACTTGGTGGTACCTCAAAAACACTCTCCCTAGTATAAAAGACAGCCAACAAAATTTGAAAAAAAAATATTAGCAGATCGTCTAGTCAGAGTATAGTATCCTGATACATGAAGAATATCTTTAACTCAATAACAAGAAATGACCTGATATTTTTAAAAAGGTCAAAGGCTTAGATATTTCTACACAGAAGAAATACAAGTGGATGCTAGCACATGAAAGGATGTTTAGAACATCTGTCATTAGGGAAATGAAAGTTAAACCACAAGGAGATACTGTTTGAACCCAATGAGATAGACCATGATTTGAGAAATTAACAGCTGGTGATGAGGCCGTGGAGAAGCCTGAAGCCATGACATTGCAGGTGAGGATGGGAAATGACTCCACCACTGTGCAAAGCAAGTCGGCACTTCCTCGAGGAGCAAACCCGAATTAGCATTGAACCTAGAAGGCCCACTTCGCGGTGCAGTCTCAGTTTGCAAGATGCAGAGGCTCTGGAGACCCACAGCAGCACGGCGCGCCTGTGCCTGACCACACTGTGCAACGTCCCAGGCGGCACAGAGAGCAGATGCCCTCCTACCACAGTCAAAAAAGCCGCCAACATGTTCAAACATGCGTGCGAGTGTGTTCATGAGGTGGCCACAGAGACAAACAAGGACAACGATCCGAATGTCTATCACTGAAGAGTGGATAAACAAAAATACCATTCACTCTTTTCAAGTGGTATTCTGTCCAAAGCACAGAGACAGAGGCCCCAGGACGCAGGAGGCTCCATGGGGACAGACTTTCTTGGGGGAGAGGGGAATGTCCTCAGCCCAGATCTGACCCCAGCCCTCAGGGCGCAGAGCAGACCTGGAGCATCCAGGACATGTGGTGGAGTTGGGTGCTCACAGGGAACTCTCTTTCAGGGCTGTGCTGGGGCCCGGGGAACCAGGGACAGCCAGGTGAGCCCCCAGACCTCCTGCTTCCACCCATCACCCCTGGTCACTGGGGACCACAGCGGGCCAGGGCCGCTGGTGGCCCGTCTGGGAGGGGCGGGTGACAGCTGGGGAACCTGGGGGAGAAGGCGCCCTGACTCCTCAGGTCTGATTCCTTTCCAGAGGTCCTCCCCAAACCCTCCATCCGGGCTGACCCAGGCACCATGGTCGCCCAGGGGAGCCCGGTGACCATCTGGTGTCAGGGGTCTCTGATGGCAGATGTCTACCGTCTGTATAAAGAGAGGGGCTCTGTATACTGGGAGGCTAAGGCCCCTCAGGGCTCCAGGAACAAGGCCGGATTCCACTTTGAATACACGAGCTCAAGTGATGCCGGGCAGTATCAGTGTGCATATCGCAGCAGGAACCGCTGGTCAGAACGGAGTGACCTCCTGCCCCTGGTGGTGACAGGTGAGAGGGAGGGGCGGGGGGTGGGAGCCTCCCCACAGGCAGAGGAGCAGAGTGTGGGCTCAGGGGGCCCTGCCCTCCCAGCCCACGCCTGGGGTCACTGGGGTGGAGGTCCCCCTTTAACACAGCCCCTCGCCCCCAGAGTGTACGGGAAAACCCTCCCCCTCTGCCCAGCCCGGCTCGCTCGTGCTCCCCGGAGACAACCTGACCCTCCGGTGTGGCTCAGAGGCCGGCTTTGGCAGCTTCGCTCTGACCAAGGACGAGCGGCTCAGCCCACCCCTCCGCCTAGAAGGGCAGCAGAACCCCGACTTCCCCCTGGGCCGCGTGAGCCGCGCTCACGGGGGCCGGTACAGATGCTACAGCGGGCAGAACCTCTCCCACACGTGGTCGGCCCCCAGCACCCCCCTGGACATCCTGATCGCGGGTGAGGAGCCCCTGTCCCGGCCCAGGTCTCGACTGTCTGCTCAGGGCGCTGGACCAGGGTCGGCCCTGGTGGTGACGGGTCCCGGGAGAGGGTCCTGGAGCAGAGGCCGAGGTGGGGCAGGGGCCTGGGGGGGAACGGGAAAACAGGAGTGAGAGGCACGACGATTAAGGAGACCCACACAGACGGGCTGAGAGGAGCTGGGAGGGCTCACAGGGAGGCCCCTCAGCTCAGGGTCTGGGGTGTGGGGAGGGGCTCTCTGCTCATCACCCCCGTCCTCCCCCAGGAATGCACAGGAAACCCTCCCTCTCCGCCCGCCCGGGGGCCTCAGTGCCCCAGGGAGAGAACGTGACCCTGCAGTGTCGCTCTGAGGTCCGCTCAGACACCTTCTATCTGTCCAAGGAGGGGTCGCCCGCTCCTCCCCAGCACCTGCGTCTGCAGGACACGGCTCCGCCCGTCCAGGCCAACTTCACCCTGAGTGCTGTGACCTCGGCCCACGGTGGGACCTACAGGTGCTATGGCTCACATAGCACCGCCCCCCACCTGCTGTCGCTGCCCAGTGACCCCCTGGAGCTCCTGGTCTCAGGTGAGGGGCCCCCTGCCCATACCCACTGAGGAGTCAGACCCATAGCTCAGTCCTGTCCCCGGGCAGCTCTGGGCTGCATGGGAAGAAGGGAGACACGGGGACGTCAGCCACAGGTGACCCCACCTCACAGAGAGATGGATAACACATCTCTACTCCACGTACCCCCTCTCCAGGGTCCAGGCAGTGCTAGGTGTGCAGAGAAGGGACTGAAGAGTGGAACACTCTGGGCTTTGAGGGACGACATGGAGCTAAAAGCACCATGAAGACCCAGACACACTCCCACACCCTCCTCCTGTCCTTGTTCCAGGGAGCAGCTGAGGCCTGGAGACCCCACCCACATGCACGAGCTCCATGTCCGCTGGGTAACCGAGGCCTCCTAGCCTAGAGGAGAGGAAGTTTCCCCGGGCCCTGGGCGACGTCCTGTTCCCCCTTGCCCACTAAACCTTTACGGGTTGCTTCCCACAGGGTCTAGGGTGGGGTGAGGATGAAGGGAGGGGGCTTCAGGTCCCAAGTATAACTGAGCTCACTGGTCGCAGTATACTGGCTGCTCAGAGTGAGAAGAGCTGTGTGTTAAGGGGAAGTCACCAGCTGAGGAGAGAGAGAGGAGGCGGCCTCCCCGCCTCTGTCCGTGGTGCTGATTCCTGGGAGCCTGCGCGTCAAGGGCGCCAAGGGAACCAGCCCAACGGAGTGCAGGGCAGAGTGAATGTGGCCTCTGTCCGTGGTGCTGATTCCCGGGAGCCTGCGCGTCAAGGGCGCCAAGGGAACCAGCCCCACGGTGTGCAGGGCAGGGCGAAGGGGGCCTCCCCGCCTCTGTCCGTGGTGCTGATCCCCGGGAGCCTGCGCGTCAAGGGCGCCAAGGGAACCAGCCCCACGGAGTGCAGGGCAGAGTGAATGTGGCCTCTGTCCGTGGTGCTGATTCCCGGGAGCCTGCGCGTCAAGGGCGCCAAGGGAACCAGCCCCACGGTGTGCAGGGCAGGGTGAAGGGGGCCTCCCCGCCTCTGTCCGTGGTGCTGATCCCCGGGAGCCTGCGCGTCAAGGGCGCCAAGGGAACCAGCCCCACGGAGTGCAGGGCAGAGTGAATGTGGCCTCTGTCCGTGGTGCTGATTCCCGGGAGCCTGAGGGTCAAGGGCGCCAAGGGAACCAGCCCCACAGCATGCAGGGCAGAGTGAAGGTGGCTTCTCCGCCTCTGTCCGTGGTTCTGATCCCCGGGAGCATGCGCGTCAAGGGCGCCAAGGGAACCAGCCCCACGGTGTGCAGGGCAGGGTGAAGGGAGCCTCCCCGCCTCTGTCCGTGGTGCTGATCCCCGGGAGCCTGAGAGTCAAGGGTGCCAAGGGAATCAGCCCTGCAGAATGCAGGGAAGAGTGAATGTGGCCTCTGTCCGTGGTGCTGATTCCCGGGAGCCTGAGGGTCAAGGGCGCCAAGGGAACCAGCCCCACGGTGTGCAGGGCAGGGTGAAGGGGGCCTCCCCGCCTGTGTCCGTGGTGCTGATCCCCGGGAGCCTGAGAGTCAAGGGTGCCAAACCTCTGTCCGTGGTGCTGATCCCCGGGAGCCTGAGCGTCAGTGTCACCAAGGGAACCAGCCCCACAGTGTGCAGGGCAGGTGAAGGTGACCTCAAAGAGGTGGGGAGATTCACTGCACAGTTACATGTAAATCAATGAAAGTAGAACTTTCTCCCATACTATAAAAATTAAACTCAGAATGGTTTGAAGACCTAAATGTTAGACATAACATCATAAAACTGCCGCAAGAGAACATGGGCCAAGCACTCTTTAATATACATCGTATCAATATGTTCATAGGTCATTCTCCCAAGGCAAAATAAATGAAAGCAAAAATTAACAAATGGGACCTCATCAAACCTATAAACTTTAGCACAGCAAAGGAAATCATCAACTTGAAAAGACAGCACATGGAATGGTAGAAACATTTGCAAATGATATGACCAAAATATATGAACTGCTCATATGACTCAAAATCAAAGAAACCAACAACCCATCAATAATGTGCAGAAGAATTGAAGAGACATTTTCCCAAAGACACAGATGGCCAGCGGGCACATGAGAAGATGCTCAACACCGTCAATTTTTAGAAAAATGCAGATCAAACCTGCAATGAGTTACCACCACACACCAGTTGGAATGGATATCAACAAAATCTACAGGCAATAAATGCTGGGGAGGGTGTGGAGAAAAGAGAACCCTCTGACACCATTGGGGCATGTGTGTGCTTCAGTCGTGTCCGACTGTTTGCAACCCCATGGACTGTAGCCCGCCAGGCTCCTCTGTCCATGAGATTCTCCAGGCAAGAACACTGGAGTGGGATGTCATGCCGTCATCCAGGGCATCTTCCCCACCCAGGGACTGAACGCGCGACCCTCGGGTTTCCTGCATTGGCAGGCGGCTTCTTTACCACTAACACAACCTCTTGTACCTTCAAAGGCGCTTTTCTTCCAGCTTGGAGCCATCCTGCCTGTGGCCACGAGAGGGCACACGAGAGACATGGCAGAGTCTGCTCGCGGTAAGACCCTATTCAGGAGACACCCCCCAGGACTTTCCGTAGAACGGGTGCATCCTTCCCCCAAACCAGCCTCTGCCCTCGGAAAAAGCCACCTGCGTCCAGGAGAGATGGTGCGCCCAGCCGGTCCAGCATAGGCTCTTAAAGACTCCTCAGTTAGAGAGTCCTCACACTTCACTGGTTAAATGAACCTCCCAACTAAACTGCTAATTCCCACATCTCTGCCACAGACTTCAAGGTGATGAATTCAGCAGAAAGCCCTGGACTGGGAGTTTGAACCATGTGGTTTCAGAAAGAGTACCATGGGTTGGTATGTTGAATGTGGATACATCGCATTTCCCTACCCTAGCAGGTCCCGCCTCTGTTTAACAAAATAGCAATGATGATTCTACAATGTAGTTGTGGGGCTCGAGAACCAGGGCACTGTGACTCCACCCTGGGCAAGAGACAGTCGTCCGGAGATGCAGATCTAGGAGCTCCCTAATTATTGAAGACAATTGTCTTAAAGAGGTTCAGTGAACTGATCTTCCACTAGGGTGTGCAGAACACACAATGGGAAAATCCCTTCAAGAAACCGCGCTGGAAGAGCGAGATGACAGCAGACAGGAGGGGGAAGCTGGACCCTCAGCTCACACTACATGTGAAATCATCTCAAAACACAGCAGAGACTTAAACACAGGGCCTGACACCATGAAAGAACCAGAAGGAAACACGGGGGGGCCTTCGTGACATGGGTGTGGACAAGCGTTCTGTGGGTATGGCACCAAAAGCACGGGCAGCAAAGACAGAGACAGACCCGGGGGGTCCGGCAAATAAAACCTCCTGCCAGCACAGGAGACGGTCACAGGAAAGGCAATGGACGCAACGGAGAAGACGTGTGCAAACCACACGTCTGATAAGGGGCTACTTCTCCAATACACAAGGAGCTCACTCAACTCAACGCAAAGTAACAACCACCCGGTCTTTAAATGCGCAAAGGACCTGAACAGGTGTGTCTCAAAAGACGATGCCCAGACGACCAAACAGGACGTGAGAAGGTGCTCAACATCCACCAGTCCTCAGGGGAGCACACATCAGAGCCAGTGAGATGTCACTGCACGTGTTAGAGACACTTGACTGCTAGGAAAGAGACAAAGACAACACGTGCTGCCAAACTGGGAGAAAAGAGAACCTTGTGTGTGGTCGTTGGGGACACAATCGGTGCAGCCACGGTGGAAAACAGTGTTGAGTTTCCTCAAATTCTAATCTAGAAAGATATCAACAAAATCTACAGGCAATAAATGCTGGGGAGGGTGTGGAGAAAAGAGAACCCTCTGACACCACTGGGGCATGTGTGTGCTTCAGTCGTGTCCGACTGTTTGCAACCCCATGGACTGTAGCCCGCCAGGCTCCTCTGTCCATGAGATTCTCCAGGCAAGAACACTGGAGTGGGATGTCATGCCGTCATCCAGGGCATCTTCCCCACCCAGGGACTGAACGCGCGACCCTCGGGTTTCCTGCATTGGCAGGCGGCTTCTTTACCACTAACACAACCTCTTGTACCTTCAAAGGCGCTTTTCTTCCAGCTTGGAGCCATCCTGCCTGTGGCCACGAGAGGGCACACGAGAGACATGGCAGAGTCTGCTCGCGGTAAGACCCTATTCAGGAGACACCCCCCAGGACTTTCCGTAGAACGGGTGCATCCTTCCCCCAAACCAGCCTCTGCCCTCGGAAAAAGCCACCTGCGTCCAGGAGAGATGGTGCGCCCAGCCGGTCCAGCATAGGCTCTTAAAGACTCCTCAGTTAGAGAGTCCTCACACTTCACTGGTTAAATGAACCTCCCAACTAAACTGCTAATTCCCACATCTCTGCCACAGACTTCAAGGTGATGAATTCAGCAGAAAGCCCTGGACTGGGAGTTTGAACCATGTGGTTTCAGAAAGAGTACCATGGGTTGGTATGTTGAATGTGGATACATCGCATTTCCCTACCCTAGCAGGTCCCGCCTCTGTTTAACAAAATAGCAATGATGATTCTACAATGTAGTTGTGGGGCTCGAGAACCAGGGCACTGTGACTCCACCCTGGGCAAGAGACAGTCGTCCGGAGATGCAGATCTAGGAGCTCCCTAATTATTGAAGACAATTGTCTTAAAGAGGTTCAGTGAACTGATCTTCCACTAGGGTGTGCAGAACACACAATGGGAAAATCCCTTCAAGAAACCGCGCTGGAAGAGCGAGATGACAGCAGACAGGAGGGGGAAGCTGGACCCTCAGCTCACACTACATGTGAAATCATCTCAAAACACAGCAGAGACTTAAACACAGGGCCTGACACCATGAAAGAACCAGAAGGAAACACGGGGGGGCCTTCGTGACATGGGTGTGGACAAGCGTTCTGTGGGTATGGCACCAAAAGCACGGGCAGCAAAGACAGAGACAGACCCGGGGGGTCCGGCAAATAAAACCTCCTGCCAGCACAGGAGACGGTCACAGGAAAGGCAATGGACGCAACGGAGAAGACGTGTGCAAACCACACGTCTGATAAGGGGCTACTTCTCCAATACACAAGGAGCTCACTCAACTCAACGCAAAGTAACAACCACCCGGTCTTTAAATGCGCAAAGGACCTGAACAGGTGTGTCTCAAAAGACGATGCCCAGACGACCAAACAGGACGTGAGAAGGTGCTCAACATCCACCAGTCCTCAGGGGAGCACACATCAGAGCCAGTGAGATGTCACTGCACGTGTTAGAGACACTTGACTGCTAGGAAAGAGACAAAGACAACACGTGCTGCCAAACTCGGAGAAAAGAGAACCTTGTGTGTGGTCGTTGGGGACACAATCGGTGCAGCCACGGTGGAAAACAGTGTTGAGTTTCCTCAAATTCTAATCTAGAACTACCTACCATGCAATCCAGCAATTCCACTCCTGGGTCTGTATCCAAAGAAGATGCAGCCAGAACCTCACAGACATATCTGCACTCCTGTGTTCACTGAAGCATTGTTCTCAATGGCCAAGATATGGAATCAATCTCAGGGTCTGTCAGTAGATAAAGGAATAAAAGAAAAATGAGATACACACACACACGATGGAGTATCTTCAGCCTTTAAAAAGTCGGAAATCCTTCCTTTTCAGACAACATGGGTGAACCTGGAGGACAGTATGCTGAGTAAAGCAAGACAGACAGACAAACACAGCAGGGGCTCACTGACCAGTGGAATCTAATCGTCAGACTCAGAGACAGAGACTGGCAGTGGTCAGAGGCTGGGAAAGTGGGGGGTGGAAACAGGGAGGTGCTGGTCACGGGGAACGTTTCAGGGACTCCGACGAGTAAGCTCTGGAGGCCTGATGTGCAGCGACGTGACTACAGCTGACCACACTCTAGTGTAGACTCAGTCCTGCTCAGAGGGCAGCCCGGACGTGTCCTCACCAGACCCGCAGACCTCGGTGAACTGCGGGAGCTGATGGACACGCTAATCAGCATGATCGTGCTGTTTCACAGGGTAAGTGTGCATCAGAACATCAAGCTCGACATCTGAGATATACAAGTCTTTGTCAGTTATCCCTCAAGAAAGCTGAAAAGTTTCTTTCATTTAAGTAGACCAAACATGTTGTTAGTTATTCCATGTCTAATTTAAGCCAGTCACTCCCGTGTTTAATATATGTACTGACACATGTATTTCTGAACATGTGTGCATTCTCCTCCTCCACTGAAGAAAACAAGGTCCTAATTACCCTCCACCTGCACCCTGAGCAGTCATGTATAGGTGTGCATGCATGCACACCTGTGTACCTACACGTCCATGCATTTGTGGCCGTGTTTGTGTGTGCCGGTGTAATCTTCCAAAGCTCATTTGTTGGGCATGCGTTCCTCACCGTTGCATCTCACTTGCTCCTGACATCAGTTAGCATTCCTTTCAGTGTGAAAACTAATATCTAAGCCTTTGCACCTCTGCCAATGCCATCTTTCACCCTCACTCTCTATCAAGCTACTTGAAAACATTTTATTTTTTTTAAAGAAGTGTGTGACTCAGCGACGAGGAGAGGATTATACAGGTGAAGGTTAAATGGTCCATCCTCCCACAGCCCTCCTTCTCTCTGAGGAAGCAGCAGCCTGACCTGGCGGGATGAGTGGCTGAGATTCTGCCCACGGGCAGAAGTGGTGCCCGGATCCCAGGATTCACAGACTTCCCTGTCTAATGACCCTCTCACATCAGTCCCTTACAAATAACTTTTTTACTCAGTATAAAATTGTTCTTAATGAATTCCCTGAAGGGGTTTCTCCAGTATCCCCTGGCGTCACCTTTTTCTAGGAAGTAGTCTGGTCCCAGTGACCTTGTCATTCTCTTGATAACTGAAAAAGGTCAGTTTTCACTCCAGTCTCAATGCAGGGCAACAGCAAAGAATCCTCAACCTACTGTGCAATTGGTCTCATTTCACACACTAGCAAGGTAATGCTCAAAATCCTTCAGTCTAGGCTTCAGCTGTACCTGAACCGAGAATGTCCAGATGTGCAGGGTGGAGTTAGAAAAAGGCAGAGAAACCAGACATCAAATTGCCAAACATCTGTTTGATCATAGAAAAAGCAAAGGAACTCCAGAAAAACATCTACTTCTGCTTCACTGACTACACGAAAGCCTTTGATTGTGTGGATCATAAAAACTGTAGAAAATTCTTAAAGAGTGGGAATACCAGACCTTCTGACCTGCCTCCTGAGAAGCCTGTATGCAGGACGAGAAGCAACACTTAGAACCAGACATGGAACAATGGACTGGCTCAAAACTGGGAAGGGGCACGTCAAGGCTGTATGGAGCCATCCCGCTTATTTAACTTGTATGCAGAGCATATCATGCTAAATGCTGGACTGCATGAAGCACAACACGGGTTCAACATTGCTGGGAGAAACATTAGTAACCTCAGATATCAAGGTGACATCACCCTAATGGCAAAAAGCGAAGAGGAACTAAAGAGCATCTTGATAAACCTGAAAGAGGACAGTAGAAAAGCTGGTTTAAAACTAAACATTCAAAAAACCAACATCATGGCATCCAGTCCCATCGCTTCATGGCAAATAGATGGGGAAACAATGGAAGCAGTGACAGACTTTATTTTCTTGAGCTCCAAAATCACTGTACACAGTGACTGCAGCCATGAAATTAAGATGTTTGCTCCTTGGAAGAAAAGCTATGACAAACCTCAACAGTGTAGTAAAAAGCAGAGACATTACTTGGCTGAGAAAGGTCCGTCTAATCAAGGCTGTGGTTTTTCCTATAGTCACGTATGGATGTGAGAGTTGAACTATATAGAAAGCCGAGTGCCGAAGAATTGATGCTTTTGAACTGTGGTCTTGGAGAAGACTCTTGAGAGTCCCTTGGACTGCAAGATGATCAAACCAGTCCATCCTAAAGGAAATCAGTCCTGGGTGTTCAGTGGAAGGACTGATGCTGAAGCTGAAACTCCAATACCTTGGTCACCTCATGCGAAGAAGCAAGTCATTGGAAAAGCCCCTGATGCTGGGAGACGTCGAGGACAGAAGAAGGGGGCAAAAGAGGATGAAAGGTTGGACAGCATGACCAGCTCAATGAATAGGAGTTTGAGCAAGCTCAGGAGACAGTGATGCACAGGGAAGCCTGGCATCCTGCAGTCCATGGGGGTCACAAAGATTCAGACACGGCTGAACGACTGAACAACAAGGTATTTAAAATAAGGTTCCCCTTTACCTGTTGCCTCAGACACCCCACATCTCAGCAGGCTGCTCTCCACAGCACTGTCCTCATTTGGGGGTCACACTGAGGTCCACCCCCTCACACTCCCCATCTAGCAGACGGAGTCTTCCGGGACTGGCCTGGGAGGCAAGCTGACTGGGGGCCCCTGAAGCCACCCCGCACCCCAGAGTGCATGGTCGCAGACTCTGCCCCTGCTCAGAGCTTCGCTCAGGATGGGCCGTGGGGGCTCCGCAACCTCCCGCAGGGGGACGACGCGGCTGACAGCGAGGGACCACGTGTGTTTCCTGCCACACGTGGGGGGCTCCGCGGTGCTGGCTGAGGCCTGAGGCCGTGAGCGGAGGGCTCCCAGTGCCAGCCTCCATCGGAGCCCTGAGCCTCCCTGCCTGTGACGATGGGTCCCTCTCTGTGTCCACATGGGTGGAAACCTCCTCCCTCTGACCCTGAGCACATTCTGGCCGCCGGGGCCACACCGCCTACCTCTCCCCGCTTCACTGTGGTTCCCTCTCCATTTGGGGAACTTCTCTTTTGCACTTGTCTGTGGTTTCGTGTTGCAGAAACACTCTCCAGGGCACATCTCAGCGTCAGGAGCAGGGGAGGCTCTGGGTGGGCACCACACTCGCCCCCTTGGGTGCAGTCTGAGCCAGCAGCCCGTCACATCCACCCTCTCCTGTCACCTCGTCTGGAAATTAACCGTGAGGACGGCAGCAAGAGCCCACGGCCCCTCTGAGGGCTGGGGTTCGGGACAACATGCAGAGGAGGAAGCTCAGGCGCAGAGAAAGGGCACCGCCGCTCCAGGTGCCATGAGCAGCGGGCTCACGTTTATAGGAACATCTGCTCTCCATCAGAGAGCTCTGACCCCAATCAACACCCCCGAAAGCCTGCAGGTGATGGCAAGACCGGAGGAGCCTGCGCCCAAGGACCCCGGGGCCCCGAGGAGGCAGGAAGCCCCCGGGGGCTTGTTCCCAGGAAGGTGGGCTGGACGGTGATGGGGTAGAGAGAGACGCCCCTGAAGGGGGCTGTGATGGGGGGATCCCCACTCCGGGGCAGGGGAGGAGTCAGTTTCCTTCCTGACTCCCTGCGCATCTCCTCTGGGCTCTCGGCCATGCGGACTCCACTGAGCCCCAGGGAGATGCTGAACGTGTGTCCCTCATAAAGGACAGACTTGTGGACACGCCGGGAAGGAGAGGGTGTGTGGAATAGAGCAGCATGGAAACACACACAGGGCACGTGTGAAACAGCGCCGGGGACGCGCCGTGTGACTCAGGAGCCCACACAGGCGTCTGTGACAGCCTGGACGGGGGGGGGGNCCCCAGGGCCCAGGAGCCTCCCGGAGAGGAGAGGCGCTGCTCAGAGCTGAGGGCAGACCTCTCACAGGGCTCTCTCTTCCAGGGCTGAGTGTGGGCCTGAGGACCCAGGTGCAGGCTGGTGAGTCTGTCCCCAGGGCCCAGCTCCCTCCTCTCGTGGGGACAAGGGCCACCCCGAGGCCCTGAGGAGGGGGAGGGCAGCTCAGGGCTCATAGAGGGGGAGTCTGGGAGGTCTGGGCTGAGAGCCAGGGCCTGGGGGCAGACCCCTGGTGAGCCCGCCTCTGATTTCCTTCCAGGGGCTCCCCCCAAACCCACCATCTGGGCTGAGCCGGGCTCTGTGGTCCCCTGGGGGAGCCCCGTGACCATCTGGTGTCAGGGGCCCCTAGGGGCCCAGGAGTTCCATCTGGATAAAGAGGGAAGCTCAGTCCCCTGGGACAGACAGAAACCCCTGGAGCCCGGGGACAAGGCCAAGTTCTCCATCTCACTGATGACTGATCAGTATGCAGGGCGCTATCAGTGCTACTATCTCAGGGGAACTCTCTGGTCAGAGCACAGTGAGCCCCTGGAGCTGGTGGTGACAGGTGAGAGACTCTCGGGGGCCTCAGGCTCTGCCCTCGGGAGGGGGGTCTGCTCTCAGGGGATGTCCCTCTCACAGCCCAGCCCTGGGCGGGGGGTGGAGGGGAGTCCTAGGGATCCAGCTGCCTCCTTCTCTCCTAGGACCCTCCAGCAAACCAAGCCTCTCAGCCCTGCCGAGCCCTGTGGTGACCTCGGGAGGGAATGTGACCCTGCAGTGTGGCTCCCGTCAGGAATTTAACAGGTTCCTTCTGACCAAGGAAGGAGAAAATGAGTCCTCTCGGACACTGGATGGACAGCGGAGCCCCGATGGGCAGACCCAGGCCCTGTTCCCCGTGGGCCTCGTGAGCCCCGGACATGGGTGGACATTCAGATGCTACGGCTTTAACAGGGTCACCCCCCAGGTGTGGTCGGCCCCCAGCGACCCCCTGGAGCTCCTGGTCTCAGGTGAGGAAGTCCCGTCCTGACCCCACATTTGTGCAGACAAGACAACGTACTGGGGTCTCTGCTCCCAGGGGAGCCCGTGTGACGGGGGGAGAGAACGTGGTGCTCAGAGGACAGACACACAGACAGAGACGGCGAGGCCTGGGGCCGGGCCGGGGAGGGCGTCCACACGGGACGTGGTCCCAACAACCCGGCGCCCATCTCTCCCCAGGGCTGTCTGGGAAGCCATCCCTCCTGACCCCGCAGGGCCCTGTCGTCACCTCTGGACAGAACCTGACCCTTCAGTGTCGCTCTGACATGGGCTACGCCAGATTCGCTCTGGCCAAGGAGGGGGGCCGGGACCTCCCCCAGCGCCCTGCCCGGAGGGCCCAGGGGGGCCTCTCTCAGGCCGACTTCCCCCTGGGCCCAGTGGGCACCGTCCACGGGGGCCGGTACAGATGCTACGGTGGACACAGCCTCTCCTCCGAGTGGTCGGCCCCCAGCGACCCCCTGGAGCTCCTGGTGGCAGGTGAGGGGCCAGCGGGTCAGTCGGGGGCCAGACTCTGCACAGGCCCCACCGGGGAGCCCCAGGGGTGATGCTGGGACCAGGGGGAGGGGTCCCAGGGAGGGGACAGAGAGACGGGGTGGGGGAGGGGGACAATGGAGAAACAGATGGCGCTGAGGGTCCAGAGAGGCCTGAGGAGTCCCGCTCAGAACCAGGGCCGGGCCCGTACTCCCTTCCTCTCTGCAGGATGGCTCAGAGACAGACCCTCCCTCTCGGCGTGGCCGGGCCCCTCGGTGGCCCCGGGGGAGAACGTGACCCTGCTGTGTCAGTCAGGAGACTGGACGGGCACCTTCCTTCTGTCCCAGGAGGGGGCAGCCCATCGCCCCCTGCGTCTGCGCTCAACATACCAAGGCGGGCGGTTCCAGGCCGAGTTCTCCTTGAGTCCTGTGAGCTCGGCCCAAGGGGGCACCTACAGGTGCTATCGCGCACTCAGCACAGAGCCCTACCTGCTGTCACAGCCCAGCGAGCCCCTGGCGCTCCTGGTCTCAGGTGAGGCCCCGTCTGTCCGTCTGACTCAGCAGCTCGGGGCTCTGTGCCCTGGGAGCACGGGTGGTCTGCAGTGAGGGGGCGCTGAGGGAGGGGCCCCCTGAGGGAGGGGCCTCGGAGCCCGCGCCCCGCCCCTTCCTCACGCACCGGGGTCCCGGAGGGGCAAGGGGGCAGTGGGAGGGTCTCTGGGAGCCCACAGGCCCGTGCAGGGCAGAGGGGAGTGAGGTGGGGACCCCGGGTCAGCCCAGCCCACCCCTTCCTGGGCTCATTCACAGCACCCATGGGCCCAGCCCCCACCCTCAGGCCCCNTGTGCTCAGGGGAGACAGCCCACCCCAGGGCGCTTTGAGATTCTCTGGGTGGACAAGGCCCCTCAGATCGTCAAGGGCCAGCAGGGAGTCAGGCAGGGATGGCGCGGGAGCCACAGGCTGGAGGGGCCTGAGGCTGCGGGATGGGGGTCAGTCTGGGGAGGAGCAGTCCCGCCCCCACCCCATCCTGTCCCTGGGAGGCTCCTGGAGGAGGACACGGCCCACCCACAGCCTCCCTTCAGGACCCTCAGGCCCCCGACACCCTCCCCCATCACCGCGGTCAGACCCAGAGTGAGGACAAGGACAGCGTCCCCGTCAGGGGCTGGGCTTGGGGCCATGTCCTCTCCCGGGAGTTGGGTGCTGGTGCCGGCGCTGACCTGTGCGCCCTCACCCCAGACTACGTGGTGCAGAATCTCATCCGGATGGGCCTCGCAGCCTCAGTCCTGCTGCTCCTCGGGGTCCTGCTCTGCCAGGCTCGGCACCACCGCAGAGGAGCCCGAGATGCAGCCCGGAGCTGAGCACGGGAGGCCCCCGGCACTGTCCAGAGTGCCCCAGCCCCCGATGCGAGCGTCCGGCCTGGGAGCTTCGGAAAGAGCCTATGACCCATTTTTTGATTGGGTCATTTATTTTTCTGGAGTTGAGCTGGAGGAGTTGCTTGTATATTTTTGAGATTAATCCTTTGTCTGTTGCTTCGTTTGCTATTATTTTCTCCCAATCTGAGGGCTGTCTTTTCACCTTGCTTATA